TGAGGGTTGTGCAGACGTCCGCATTGTAAACTCTGCCCTTCAGAGCGAAAGTAATGTCACGCCGGCGCCACATGTGGCGGAGATTAGCAAAAGCGCCTCGAGCTTTTGCTATACGGTTTGTGATCTCATCTTCCGTTCCATTGGCGCTGATATAGTTGACCAGATACTTGAATTTCTAGACAACTTCTAAATTCTCTCCTCCCAGAGTCAGTGCAGGAGTGGGTTGCTGCCAATCTTTGTGAAGAACTTTACATTTTGATGGTGCAAAGCATAGCCCAAAACGACTGACAGCCAGAGCTAATTTATCCAGTACAGCTTGACACGTTCGGGGGCTGTCTCAGATGAGCGCAGTGTCGTTGGCGTACTCCAAGTCGAGAAGTCGTTCACCAGGGATCAGTTCCACACGTTTCAAGTCATACCTGGCGAACGCCGTTTCCATAACTTTGTCATTCAGAAGTTAAAGAGGAAAGGTGACAGCAGGCAACATTGTCTCACGCCGCTGGAGAAATTGCAAGGCAGTGACAGCTTGCCGTATACTCTCACTCTGTCCGAGCTACGCACGTATAGCGCTCGGATAATGTTTACATATTTCTCAGACACACCATTCTTCAGTAGACAACAGTTCCAAAGGGCACATCGATCAACCGAATCAAAGGACCCTTTGAGGTCTAGGAACAAGGCTACGGTGGGCCGCCAATAACTTGGAGGTGCTCCAATAGCTGACCTACTATGAACGTGTGATCCGTGCAGCCTCGATTTCGAGGAAACCGGCTCGCTCCTCGCGCATCTGGCTTTCACGTGTTCTAGTCAATCTATGGAGGACGACAGACGCAAGCAACTTAGAGGATATGGAGATCTGACTGATTTCTAAATGATTGCCGCCTCCATTGAACCTTTGACCTATTACGGAGCGCGTCCAGTCCGTCGGGACAGTCTCCTGCTCCCATAGGCTCGCTAGTAAATTATGTGAATTGTCCAAATGAGCAGTTCCGCCAAATTTGAAGAGAACTGAATGATGTCCATCTTCTCCGGCGGCGTTTTTAAATATCAGCCGTCTGATCTCACATTCGATTTCTCTGCGCGAGGGCATATCCAATGGAACGGCCCAGGGAGTAGATTGCTCGTTGGGCGACGAAGAAGCTGACAACTCAAACTCATTAAACTGCTTCTCAAAGTGTTCGGCCCAGCGCTTCGAACGCTTTGACATGCTGTGGATCGGCTTTCCACTCTCGTCGCGTATTGTCTCGTTAACACCAGCTTTCTGCTACTCGTTTCTTGTATCAAACGGATTAGCTTCTGATGGTTACCAAGGGCATCGGCTGTTTCCATCTCCCAGGTACGATGAGACCACCAGACTTGGCGGTCTCTCTTCAGGGTAGCATGTAGTTTCGCTCTGAGAGTTTTTCGAGTCCCATTGTAATCGCTTCCAGTCGGAATACGTCGGCGAGCATCCATAAGTTCCGTAGACTGTGAAGAGACCCATTGTCCATGTTGAAAATTTGAGTTACCACATGAAGACATACCTGTAGCTACTAACCTCTGGCGGATATAAGACCAGTGTGTTCAACGGGCATTTACTCAGCTCAGTTGCCTGCGTACTTTGACAAGCATTCATAACACCTGGCTTCGCCAGTCGGATGATATCAATGCGCTTACAGCGACGTTGCGGACGACTGCCGAAAATCCATCCGAGGGTCGTCATACACAAGAGCATGATCGGAGTCCACGCTCATGCTCCAAATCAAGTCTCAGTTCTGGACACAGACTCTTCAGCGGTAAGTGATCGCGAAATAATTGATTTGCATCCATGACTGGTGGGCGTCAAGTCACTCTTCTGCTGGTTTTTGTGTCGGAAGTTAGTGCTCGCGAGAAAGAGACATCTTCACACAGGTGTAGCATCCGCTCACTGTTATCATTATGGGAGCCTACATCATGTTGACCGCCCAGATTAAGCTCATCAGTGGACAATTTTCCGACTTGAGCGTTCAGATCACCAGCAATGACCACACTATCCATACTTTTTTGTCGAAGGAGCGCGTTTAGTTAGTGACACAATTCATCTTTCACCGAGTCAGTGCTACAGTTTGTAGGGGCGTAAGCCGCAATGACGAAGAAGAACAGTTTTTCCCTCCACAACTTCGATTCTTTGAACGAGCCAGCCAGTCTGACAGCTCACCTCCGGCTGTTGACTGGGATTCAATCGATCAAAGCAGATTCAGCCCACGGGCTGAGCAATGCCCACACTAGCTTGACCGGCAATCGAAGCCGCTTCATCTACGTAAAACGCAATGAGAAGGTGCCGCCAGTGTCGCACGTTGGGGATCGTATGGTAATCAGAGAACTCGAAGCTTGCAGGCGAGTTTCCCACAAGCTACATGCATCGATCGATAGGGTCTCCAGTGTCCGGGCAAGGGCTGCCTGTTGGCCAGTTTGCAACAAAGTGCGCACGTTGAGGCATGCCAGTCTTAGGGAAAACCGAGGGTTCCAAATAGAAGCAGACGACGTTGTCCGTTGGGCTGGTAATGAACTTACCGACTTGACCGTAGCGCGACGCCCTGCGACTGCGTTTTAGTCGAAATTAGTCGACTGACGATTACTGATGGGGAAGGGCCTAGAATTGAGGGATTGAAAAGAGTGGATAAAAGTGATTTGAACGAGATGAGAAAGTGCAAGCGAGGGAATAAGAAGACTGGAAGGCTTGAGCAGTAGCATCCACACTCTTATCCATCTTGCTCGATGCAGCAGATATAGCGCCGTTCATTATCCTGTGCAGCTACCAGAGCATCAAGAGATAATTTGAAGGAGAGGTCATAATGTTGTATTGCGTGGGCAAGATACTGTCAGTTTGTCCAGGCTTAGACAGAAGAACCATTAGGGTACCCAACCAAAACTTTGATTCAAAAACCTTACCGCTAGGCATCGGAGTTTTGGCGGTGGACTACAGTGAGCCCATTTTACGGAGTAAGGAGCCACTCACTCCAACTCCCAAATCTAGAGACCTAGGCGACTGAGTTTGTCGGGCCTCATACCATCCACCAATCTGGTCACGACGATGTTGAACAAAAGATGGAGAAATGGGACAGCCCTGATGAACGCCATTTTTTATACGAAAGATATCCGATAAGTCACCCTAGCTTCTGTTGCTGCCCGTAGTGTTTGAGTACATGGCATTTTGAATGTTCACCTATTCCATGGGAGCCACCTTTCCGTGAATGTGGTGGGTTTTTGTGTGGCTCTCTCTCATCTCTACAGGCTTGGGATAGAGCCACACCGAAACCCTTACTTCAGTGACGGCGCCAGTGATCCATTTCGCAGAGGCTAACTTCCAAGTCAACCAAGGCCCCAGTTGAGATTTGGTGTCGCAATCCAAGACACACGGCGGATGCTCCAAAGCCCGAAAATCAAAATCACCTTTTCGCGAAAGTATCTTGTACAGAATGAATCGATCAATTGAATTGAATGTGCTCCTGTAATCCAGGAACAAAAGTTTTGTCGATCTGCGGTAGGTGCAGCACTGCTCTGGCACCTGCCGTCCTGAGCGGAAACCTTCCTGTTCTTCCCTAATCCATGGTCTCCGTTCCTCTGTGAAGCGACGAACAAGAATTGATGTTACCAATTTTGCTAATGGAGCTGAGCTCAATGTTGAGAGAAAAGGGCTGGCAAACACTCCAAAATCGAACTACACTTGGAATTCAATTTTAAGTGTCTGGACCTTGACATGGGAGCTAGGTGGTGTGTGGAATAACTGGCAATGGACGCACACTGAGAGTTCCGTCTAAGTGTAAGTATGGGATGTACTCCTCATTCTGTCTACCCCTAAATCATATTTCACGGTTCTCCTTTCAAAGCGAGGACCGATGAGAGTTATCTTCCGGCATACGGCACAACAAATGGGTCACTTCAGGATTGGTCGATTTCTGCCTCTTCCCGTCAACCGTTGGGCTGGCTATGTCACGAATGACTGTCCCATCCACCTTTATCCCCTTTGAAGCTCTATCTTGTGATGAAGTAACATATGAATATCTGGTGTTGCCGTACCGCAACCGCCCTCCACGACGCGTTTCGACTTTCTTTAATCTCATCAAGTTGTGATAGCAGATTTCGAACCCAGGACCTTTGGGAGATTAGTTGGGATCGTTACGAGCAACCGTTAACTATAGTAATTAAGTGGGTCATATGCTTATGACACTTGTTGACAGGAGTGGCTTGGCAAATCCCTGCGTCAAAAGTCAAAGGAGTATGCCATCTATCGGCTCTTTAGTTCATGCTTGTGTAAACATCGGTGATGCGCCTGCACTGTTGCTACATGTAACTTGTGAATAGCTATCTAATTAAGCTAACTGTAAAATCGGCGTCCGAAATTTTGTCTTATCACTGCGCCCTGATTCACGTTGCTCATCCCGCTTCCCACCAGAATATAAGTTTTCTTATAGCAGCAACTTGTCATCCACGACTGTTCGTGGCTTGCAGATCAACTTATTGACTGTTCTGAACAGTGATACCATTACCTTTGTTTGGGCCTGTGAAACTTTGGGGGGGAGGAGTCTGTAATTTGAACAATGGACCGCAATTGTTAACACTAAGCGATTGGCAACCCGCTGCTATTGCAACCGAATAGTGAACATAATTATGATTGGCTGCGTTTCACTAAGATAACCTCACGCCCAAATTCGTATGCTTCCGCGAATCTAGGTTGATATTTTTCAACATATTCTCACTGATGCTACACACCTGATTTTTCGGACATCATCATACTTTCAAAACACCCAGATTATATATCCGAACAAGGTCCCTGTCAACCGCCATTCTGTGTTCCATCCTTGATTCTACCCATATCTCTCTAGCTTCCTTTTGCGTTAATCTAGATCAGTCGGTTTTTCTTCACCACAAGCATAATTCCCTTGGGACGCTTCCATTCACCTGGACCACCATTTGTTGAGCTTGGATCACCAACCAGTTTTATGCATGCTAACGTTAACCCCTCAACCCTCTCTCCCCAGGAGCTATATGTCTTCCTTCCGATAAGTCCTGATGTTTCGGTTTGGCCTCCTGGCTATCAACCCGCACTGGTCTGTCGCTTAGGAATTCCGGCAATAAACCTGGATTCATTGAGTTCCACAGGTTTTGGACCAGCCAATGACCCAACAGTCGTCCCCCCCATGCCAATTACTGCCATTGCTTTGAATTCTGGTTACGGGTTGTAAGTTTCCCTTCATTGCGGTTATCCACTTTTGTGTTGGATTTGTGTCCAATCATCATACTCCCGATGTTCATTCACGTGATTTCAAGGCTGCTTTTACCAGGCTAATTTGCCATGTAACTTCTGTCCTGTCTGTATCCATCAAATTTGTGGCACACATACCGGCGATTATTAGAACCCTTTCTGTCTCGTGACTTTTCTCCACCGCTTGATCCGATTAAACCGGTTAGCTAATCCTCGTATCAATCGCATCTCACTACTTTACTTTTTTGTTCGTTTGTTAACACAACTTGCACTCTTGATTACAGCACTTGGATTCCGCTGTTTCATACACATAGGTCTCAATGTGTGTTTACTTTCGTTGCCTGCCGCGTGTTTCTTATCAATTTTTTGCGTACATAATCGCTATGATCCGATACCTGATGTCAGCGTTTGTTTCACCCTGTTCCACTCAACCCAGTTGGTCCATCTCACGAACCACACCCTCCAGACTATTTCACGAAAAATGCAAGAGGGCTTTCCGTACGCGATGCAGTGGGTGAGATAAGCGAACAATAGCTTCGCTGTTAGTTAACTCGATTTGGACCTCCAGTGCCTCGTAATTTCTGGCATTTCTGCATGTCGGTATTGTGTTTGGGTCAGTTGACTCTTCCTTGGAACCTTAAATTACACGTATTACCGTCGAAAGAGTCCCACAGCCATTAATCCATCGCACTTTTGTGTCTGATCGTGATTGACTGTATTGATTTAAGAGAGCGGTTTCTAACTGTTGCCTCCCTACTCGACGCCAAATATGACAAAGAGAAATTGGTGTAAGAATAAGGCTGAAAATCTATCCTTAACACATGGTGATAGGGGGTCGCGTCTTTATCATACCAACCAGATTGCACAACAGCTCCATACTTCTGCAGTTCAGTTAATATGTGGACTATGTTGGTTCATATCTCGATGGGGATTATTTTTCAAACTTTTACGCATTCCAACATGCTCGATCGATCTGTCATAGTGGATTTCTTTGATCAAGACGCATTCCTCGACGCAATTGCTAGCACTTTTTGGACTGGACTTTAATGTGGCACGATGGCTTGCCCACTTCCATGACCTATTGAGCTACACTAGGTGGCACATTCCAACTGCCCTCAGAGCCATTCATACCAGGAAGGTCAATAGTTAGGGGTCTGACTAACTCACTTCCACAATCCTCTTCGGAGGTTAGGGTGAGCTCAATGCCTCTCCTTTAAAACTTAGCCATGAGAGACACTAGGTTATGAACTCACAACCCCAGGGGCGTGGAGCATTGTCTCTGGGGTTTGTTACCGCTTGCCACAAGCCAGGCCACCTCTTATCACATGCGTACAAACCCGCGAACTCGCACCTGCGGGTGGCCGTGATCAAAGTGTGTAACACTACTTTTGGAATACACTGAAGAATCGTTCTAAATCTTCGAAGGCAACATGTGACAGACCACAAGCAGACCCCAGTGGGTTTTTGCAATCACACACCCGAGCTGTACTTGGTCCCCGCTGCCTTGTGGGTGAGAATATTAGGCCAAAGACTCCGGGTGAAATTCCTGAAGCGAACCTCCATGTATCCCACTGCATTGTGATTAACTTCTGAGCCAAAGGCTATAGGTAGGACACCTCAAACCAAACCTCTCTCTCGGAATAGGCAGCCGGAGAGCATCACCTGCCCTCTCAACACCTTCGGCGATACTCCCTATTTTTCTTCTGCTTTCCTTCTTCCTCTCAACCCTTTTTTCCTATCGATCAGTCGGCAGACTGCTGCTGGCCTTGCAGCTGCCGCCGTCGGTGCATTTAACACGTCCCCCCATCTAGGCGTCTCAATTCACATTGCTTCGTTTAATCTCCGCACTGTAGAGCACATCAGACAACAACTTAAAATTTGTCGACAGTGACTTCATTCTTCGCATCTCTGGCGATACTGTGTCAATGGCTCAATGTAGTTACGGTGTTCGTTTTGCTCTCAGCAAACATGCTGAAGGCCATCTGCTTGACTGGATACTAGTGAGAAACCATATATGTGCGGTTCGACTTACAACCTCTATTTGGGTTACTAAGCACTGTCGAAGGACAGGGTGCTTTTACATCCCTTCCTGTCATGCTCTACTACATGCGATTCGGTAGATATTAGAAACGACTTGTATCGTCAGTTCTTCTCCATATGTCGAATAATCTCGATACCATACGTCGAATGATGCATCACACTTCATGTTCGACTAACCACAATCAAGTTGCCGCACACCTCATTTGGATTTGTGTATGTTTTCTAGGCTTCAGTAACCCAAGAAGACTTGCAGCCATTAGTCTATCAAGCCGGAGCAGGTTATGCAGTAGTTCATGCCTCTCACGTTACTTTATGGTTCAGATGCGATCTTTGGTCATCACAGTTTGTATTTGATTGATTCTGATTCTCTATTTGTATTTGGCAATTGGTGCTCGTATCTAGACTAACTCTTCTATTTGAAGATTTTAATGTACTTTTCGATATGCTCTGTTTGCATTAATTTCCGTTCATCACCACTTTTCATCTCTGAACTATTAATTTCATGTGAACTTTAGTTGGCACTTGTGCACGGAGTTTTACCGAACCGAATTGGTACTGCCGAAATCTGCATAATTAGAAAGAGGTCTTTTATTGCATAACTTCGATGCTTTATATTATTTTCTTCATGTAGCTATTCCGTTATTCCTTGTGTTATCGGTAAGTTGCCTCGAGGCCTGGAACAGCACATTTCCACCGGAAACAAAACAACTATCCGGAACTGGACAACGGTACTGTTTACAAACCATTAGGAGTATAAACTGTCTTATACCACAACACTGCGCTTCCAACAACCTTTAATGTACAAACTTGAGGCATCCTAATACTCGGCTCTTTTATATGACCATGAGTTAAGGTAGGTGCTTTATCATAGGAGTGGGGTCTGTGTGTCACCTACACCGGTATCGTGTGGCATTGTAAAGGTTCTGCGGTACATGAATAAAATCACTTTCAACGGTGACCTCCATCCACATCACCATTTCTGTAATGTGAGGTTGCTGATGATACGAGAAAATAACCATGAGCTATCTTCAAACGTGTCAATGTAACACATGATTGCACGCTAATCTTTAAACGGCGCAAGGAGTTGACAAATTGTAACAATCAATAGCGCTGATAGTACGGCTAGTGTTACCAGATGTAGCGGGAGTGAAATTGTCCATATCAATTTGAAAAGACCATCGCGATGATACTGGACCCCAACTTGATGCGATAATTTGTGTGCTTCAGTGACCCATTGAGCTATGCTGGGTGGTGCTTTTTGCACCTTCCGAGCCACTCATGCCAGATTGGTCAATGGTTAGAGGCCAGACAAACTCAGCCTCCTGGTCCTCCAGGTTGGGGGTTGGAATGAGGGTGGCTCCTGACTCCATAAAACGGACTCTCTGTAGTCCGGTAACAAAATCCCACTGTCTTGCCTTAAGGTTTTTGAACCAAAGGTTTTGGTTGAGAACCCTAATCGTTCTCCTGTCTAGGCCTGGGAAACCTGACAGTATCCTGCCCTTGCAATGCAACCCATGACTTATGCTTTTAGCAATCTCATGATGCTCTAGCCGTCGCGGAGGATACTGAATACTGAGAAAATACAGCGGATAGAGGAGCCTCTTTGTATATATTTTAAGCAACTCTGCCTATTATAATGGTGATTATTCTCGAAATCGCAAGTCGGCAATGTGCGAGTCCAGGAGTTTCTTAAACTTCGACACCGACTTTGCTTCGACTATGTCTGTAGGCAGGTTGTTCCAAATATTCACCACCCTCCGCTCGAAGCAGAGTTGGTAAGCGACCCGCTTCAAATCCGCTACGATAAGCTTGTACCGGCGTCCTCGTGTGCTACTTGGTGTGCGCAGATGAAGCAGCGACGTCAACATGGGGTAATCACCCAGATGTAGTAATATCTGGTGCGTCATGATGAGGTCAACTCGCGTTCGACGATAAAACAGGGTGTACAACTCTAGTCACTTACACCCATCTTCAACACACCTCGTAAACCGTGGATGAGCCTTGTAGCCACATGCGGTGCCTGCTCAATCCTTTTCGCCTCTCGTTGCGTGAAAGGACAGTAGGCAGGTGGGCTTTACTCTTGCATTGGTCTGATGATATAATTGAACAGGCGAGTGGCAACTTCTTCGGACCAAGTGCAGAAGCTGCGTTTTAGCACCCAGAGCATGCGCAGTCCGTTTTATCAAAGCCTGTTCATGGTTTCAACGGACTTCAAATCGCAGCGTGAGAGTACGCCGTGATCTTTCACGGATGGCGATGGGTGTAACTGTCAGCCTCCCAGATTGTTGATTAAGCCATTGCTACCGAGTCTACCGTCTAGGGGTAATCAACGACTCCTTATATAAAACACAGGGTAGCGAAGAGTACTCTTTTCGATAAATCTCATCAGGCGTTTACAATTATAAAATAGAAAGTTGAAGCGGGATAGGCTGGTGAAGCGCGACAAAGGTTAGCGATTCAAAGCGAGGCAGAAGGAAACGAATGTTACGGACGGCGGAAGCCATTGCGATTAGGCTTACACAACCTGAACTATGCAAACAGAGAGCGCTTATTCAAGCGCTTCTTTTGCCCTGGGGCTAACACACTTCCAAACAGCTTCCGCTTCACACGCTGACAACCACCGGGTGATGAGTGCGTCACCCAATCAGTTGAGAAGCACGTCATATGCCTCGTGAGCATACGTGTGTATCTGTATGTGGGTATCTATGTCTGCCTACGTATACTGTGGTAGCCGCAGCTTCAGTGGATCGACCAATTTATCGATTAGGACAGCTGACCTTCTGCCTCGCTTTGAATCGCTAACCTTTGTCGCGCTTCACCAGCCTATCCCGCTTCAACTTTCTATTTTATAATTGTAAACGCCTGCTGAGATTTATCGAAAAGAGTACTCTTCGCTACCCGGTGTTTTATTAATTCCATGGGTATAATATTCGACT